TGAATTTCTAGAAGACAAGAGTCTTATTCATCTTTGTATCTCACATGGAAATGTTGCCTTCTGGAAAACTACCATGGGAGTTAAAACTTGATGACTTGCATTGTTCCAGGTGCTAAGGAGCTGCATGCACCACCACGCCCAGCTAATTTTTGCATTTTTAGTAGAGATGAGGTTTCACCATGTTGGTCAGACTGGTCTTGAACTCCTGACCTCATGATCCGCCCACCTCAGACTCACAAAGTGCTGGGATTACAGGTGTGAGCCACAGTGCCTGGCCCACCCCTGAAACATTTTATAATGGGAACTGGTAAGATATGACTTACATTTACATTTATATAAGATTATTCTGGCTGCTCTGGCTACAGAGAGCAAAGACTGGAGGTAGGGAAAGCAGACAGGAGGCTGGTTCAGGAAAGAAGCGATAGTAGCTTGGACTAAGGTGGTAGAGGCAGAGATGAAAAGTTGTCAAGTTCAGAATATATTTTAGAGGTGGAAGTCAGACCACTTACTGAGGGAGTGTGAGAGAAAAACATAACCCCAAGGTTTGTGGCCTAAGTAAATAGGAGAATGGAATTACATTTAACAAGAAAAAGTGGAATAGTGGCAGGTGAGGTGGAGAAATTGAGAGCGAAGTTTTCGTTCAAAATTTGAGATGTCTACTGAGATGTTTTGAGATGTCTATTACACAGTAAAAAGAAAATGTCATGTACAGTTGAATATAAGACTCAAAGATCAAGTAAGAGAGCCCAGAGCAGGCGAGTCAGTAGCATGTAGTCAGTTTTTAGGCTTCGTGGCCAAAATAAATTACCTAGAAAAATAAGTGACACAGAGAAAAGAGAGGCCTAGATGGAACCCTAGGGCATTTCAGTCATTTGAAATCAAGCAGAGGAGAATGAGTCAGTTTAAAGGAGATTGACAAATCTTTTTATCAAAGGAGAGAAAAGAAAAATCAAGAAAGTCTAGTATAAGGGAGCCAAAAGAAATAACTGTTTCAAATAGGAGGGCGGGATCAATTATGCCAAATGCTGCTGAGACATTAAAGGTGGGAAGGGCAGAAAAATGACCACGTTCAGGAGGCAGCAAAAAGCTCAATGTGAAGGCTGTGTGAGAGAGGTCTACTGGGAAATGAGGCTCAAACAACAGATGGTGTCAATGATCAGTATATACATGTTGAATGAATTTGGAGACAGAAGTGGTGAGTAATGGAAAGACTTCTTGAGGTCTGAAGGCCTTTCCAAGGTAGATCTATCGTAACTATTCTTCAAAACTGGTTTTTTCTCTAGAGCTTGTCTGACATCCCCTCATGTCAAAAACATGCTCACTACAATCTTTGTTCATATTGTTCTAATCCTCCTTTCCTTTGCTCCCTTCCAAATACTGCACAGCTTTTAGATCACCTTTCAGGACTCTACTTGGGTTTACTAATGACCTTCTCTTCTCCTCTGAATTCCTGTATCACATACTTTATTGTCTTGTACAGTTTGCTTTGTTTCATGTGTGGTTACCCTGAATTCTAGACTATATGTTTTTATCATAACTGATTACTTATCAGTATATCCCTTGGAAAGTAGCACACTAGAAGGTGATTCAATTCAACTGTATAAAGATTCAAGAAATACTTCTGCATATTCTGAACTGCATACAAAGAACTACTGATTATCATTTTTTTAAGCCTACCTGAGGTTTCATTTTACTCACAAAATTATACTTCTGAAAGGTTAACTGCCCCTGGTCATCAAGCTACAAAGAGGTAGAACTAATTGTCCCTGATCATCAAGCTATAAAGAGGTGGACCCCAGTCCCTAACCTATATTTGATTACATGTTCTTCAAACCTGAGCATCCTATCTCCCAAAAGGCTAGGCTGCTTGGGCGATACAAGGTGAACAAGACTCCTGTCTGCTAGAAGTTTACCACTCTTTCATTCATATAATTATTTGATTCCTATTATCTGTAATAATACAGGAATAAAAGAAATCACTGACCTCAGAGAGGTTCAAAAAGATGTTAAGATTGTGGAGAAGGGAGAATGCTTTAAAGTACTAAGAAAAATGGATAATAATTTGGTAAGTAGATACAGAGGATGATTTCAGACATAGAACAGTGCAGAAATGAAGATGGGGGAATATTAAGAAACGTGTAGAAAGCAATGAGGAAGAAGTGTAAGGAGATGTGAAGAAAGGTTTGTGAGAGAGAAAACCTTAACAATATTAAAGACCTCCATTATGGAGGGCTTCAAATGCTAGGCTAAGGAACTCAGAGTTCCAGAAGTCTGGAGGATTATTATATAGATTTTCTTTTACCTTTACATAAGAATCTATGCATACGTTTAATATTTTGAGTGCTTGCCTCTGCAATTCCTTAGATATGTTCCTTGATCTTGACTGGCAGACGTGTGTAATAACTTTGCAAACAGGTTTGCCAGGACCAGTTTGACCGCCAGACTACTTTAGAACACAAATTTTGTCTAGTTCTACAATTCCTGGATAGCTGTGGAAGAGGGTAAGCTGGCAAGGACAATATTTATGGCTTTAAACTGCTTTGGAGTCATAAAGCCAGATCTGAATCCCTGATTCACTACTTGCTAGTTCTTTGACCTCGACAAGTCATTCATTCTTTCTTCCCCCAAAACATTCATTCTTTCAACCGTATTTATTGAGTGTCTACCATATAAAATACTCTATTTTTGGCATTTAACTACTCTGCAAATTCTTAGAAGAGGATGATAATCCTTCATTCACAGAATTATGAATATTATATTTAAAAAGTCTTTTTTTTTTGAGATGGAGTCTCGCTCTGTCACCCAGGCTGGAGTGCAGTGGCACGACCTCGGCTCACTGAAACCTCTGCCTCCCGGGTTCAAGTGATTCTCCTGCCCCAGCCTCCTGAGAAGCTGGGATTACAGGTGCGTGCCACCATGCTCGGCTAATTTTTTGTATTTTTAGCAGAGAAGGGGTTTCACCATGTTAGCCAGGATGGTCTCAATTTCCTGACCTCGTGATCCACCGTCTCGGCCTCCCAAAGTGGTGGGATTAGAGGCATGAGCCACCGCGCCCGGCCAAGTGAGTTTTTTTTGTTTTTTTGTTTTTTTGGTTTTTTTTTGAGACGGCGTCTCGCTCTGTTGCCCAGGCTGGAGTGTGGTGGCACGATCTTGGCTCACTGCAACCTCCACCTCCCAGGTTCAAGCAGTTCTCCTGCCTCAGCCTCCCGAGTAGCTGGGATTACAGGCGTGCACCACCACATCCAGTTAATTTTTATATTTTTAGTAGAGA